AGTACTGTCTCTCTCTTTCTGTGCGTGTGTGTGTGTGTGTGTGTGTGTGTGTGTGTGTGTGTGTGTGTATGCGTGTGTGTGTGAGAATGTGTAGCTACAGCCCCCTCAAACACACACAGACTGATGTGTGGTCTGATTACAGGTGACCTACATCCCTCCTCTGAAGAAAAGTGAGACATTAAAAAACACTGAATCACAGTTGCTGTCTGGATTCGTTTATTTGAGTAAGTCTGTCTCAAAAATGCTCACATTAAAACACCTACATACTGGAGCTGGCATGTGTCTGATATAATAACGGATAATTATTTGAGAAGTTAATAAAAATATGACTTTAAATATGACCTCACTGTTCAGCTTTTGTCCTGTGTGAAGTAAGAATACTTTTAAAGGGACAAATCATGCTTTTTTTTATGTCGGAACTACCCAAGAGGCAACCTCTAGTCTTGAGATACGAAGAAGATCTGGAAGTGCTAAAGCTGCAGAGTCCCAAGTGTCCACTTAAGGCTGGCTTCAAGAACCAGGAACCACATTTAGAGCAAAGACACACCTGTTTACAGTTTTGTTAAAAACTGTTATGGTCTGAATGGTGCAGGACTTCCATGGCACCCACTGTTCCATATTGGCTGACTTAACTGACAAGCAGGCATGCTGTAGCTATCTGAGAGGAAGCTAAAGACCCGCCTCTTGTAGGTTAACCACAAGTCAGGTTGAGTAAGCTTTTCATATATGTGACCGCCACCACCAATGATGGGCTTTAATAAAACAGGTGACGTCAATGACACTGGGTACGCTCTATGGGTACTTGAACAACTTCATATGGCACAAGGACTTACTCCTCACCCAGAGAGAGCAATCTATTGCGTATCTCAGCAGAGAACATGGACTTGGGGATGCTGACTTGCCCCTCTGACTTAGCTGTAAACCCAAATCCTTTCAGGAGGTCTAAGAGGTCAACAGAACCACATCATCCTCATAAAGCAGAGATGGAATTCTGAGACCCCTAAACTGTAGTCCCTCCTTGCTTAATATAGATCTTGCTTGTATGCACGGAACACATGGAGAGTGGATGATCAAACTCACACACAATCCACACTTTTGGTGTCTGCTGCAGAAGTAAAATCTACACCAGCGTGTGCATCCACGGGTCTCACAAAAATGGACCTCAAAGTTCCCCTTTTTCACTGTGGACCCCCCTCAGTCAGTTAAACGTGACTTCCCTGCTGAGCTCTGTGTGGATCTAACCTCTCAAACCATCTCCTCTAATATTTGAACTAATAATTTAATATCATCCAATATGTGGCTCTCAGCAGGCAGAGAGCAGAAGAACAAGGTTCAGGGATGAAATTTACAGCAGGAATTATTTACCCTGGGACGAGGTCTGAGACTTCCTGGTCAGGATTTTCCAGCAGGTTTCATTTCATTTTGAGATTTAATATAGCAAACCAGATAATCCATGTAAGGGTCCTTACTCTTAATAGCTTTATTGTAAGTTTAGTCTTTGAGGTCCTTAAAATAATTCCACTGATACCAGCTGCACAGATAGATATCACGAGGAGGACTGAGGAAGTAAGATATTTGTTAGAACTTCAAAAAACAAATTTTTGGTTTTGTAATTTAGTCCAAAATCTAAATCTTCACTTCAGCTTTCTCCTGGATTCTTAAAACAGGAGGAATTTCAACCATAGACGCTGTAGTCTTTTGGATCAAATCAACCATCAGCAAACTTTCCAACCAAATACATCTGACCAACCAACTAACCAGCTGACAAAACCAACTAACTGTACCACCAACCAACTAACCAGCTGACAAAACCAATGAACCGTACCACCAACCAACCAACCATCCAACCAACCTAACTAACCATCCAACCATCCAACCAACCAACTAAACATCCAACCAACTGAACTAATCATCTGACTAACTTGACTAACCATCCGACCAAACAACTAACCATCAAACCAAGCAATTAACCATCTGACCAACTTAACTAACCATCCAACCAAACAACTTACCATCTGATAAACCAACTAACTACCTGACCAAGCAGCTTACTGACCAACCCTTCAAAAATTCCTCCATTCAACCATCCTTGTAATCAACCAACAAACTGACCATCCAATAAACCAACTTATAAATTAACCAATAAACAAACAGTTAACCAACCTACCAGCCAATAAACTGACTTGTAAACTAACTAACCAACCAGCCTCTAAGTTAATTAATAAACTTACTGTCTGTTTGACTCTGAATTTGACAAAAACAAGGGGAAAAAATCATATTAACCAAAGCAGTAAGCAGTCTGTTCTGCAGCCGGTGGTGTCGCCCTCTGCAGGCTGTTGAAGTCAACACAGGTTAACAGTTTGTTGTGGCAGCACTTCAACCAAACCAGACAGTGCTCAGGTGACTGAAAGTTTTAGACGCAGCTCTGGTGTCAGTGGTCGTTGTCGTCTACCTGAAGTGTCCTTTCACTTCTGCTGTCAGCACAGTGGCTCTGCAGGTATAATTTTACACCCAGCTGACAGATGGCGTTCACTGCTTTCCTTTCTTCTCTTATTCATGTAGTTACACCAAAGCAGAGGATCACTTTCTTCAGCACACTCCCATCTCCTGTCCTGTGCTGCCCTGCCAGCTCCAGGTAAAGGACAGCAGGTAACCGAACACAAGGGTGACAAATGATAACAGGGTTTCAGACTGGAACTTCGTGTTAATGAATGCTGAAGAGTGAATACGAGCTGGAACGAAGACGCCATGATTTCTGATTTCATTTGACCGTTTGTATTTATGGTTATTTAAAACCTCTCTTATCTGATATAGACAATTCAGAGTTGGTCCTTCCATGCAGTCCAGGTTTCTTTACACTAAGCCCAAATTAAAACTGTCAAATATAGCATAGCTGAGGGATCAATCTGTGTCCTACTGCAGGAGTTTAAACTGAGGACACACTTTCGGGTAAAGTTCGTCAGACATGCTTTGAGAGTTTTACTGCAGGATTTAAGTAATTGATAGAAACTGCCTCCCTGCTCCACGTGCTGTTATCTCATTACATTGACCTTCTAGCAGTATCAAATAACAGAGCTGCTTCTGAAGGCCGAGGCTCTTGAACTGATGGAGGTTTAGTCTTTCAGTGAAACTCTTTGGATGTTCAGCTGTTTATATAACTTTGTGTACTTTATTCTCCCTTGGTTAAGTCTGAGCCCTGCAACGTTGATCCATGCTCTTTCCCACATGTATAAGTGGCATGCTGCTATTCATCCCAGTGTTGTTTCATTGCTGCAGGGCTCTGTACAGTATTTACACTGAAACTGATTCAGCAGAGGAATTAGTGGCTGTAAGGCACCATTGTTCCTTTTTAGTAACAATTAGCTATTGTCACTGCACAGTCTTTTCTCCATCTAAACTTTACCACAAATATGTTGATGATATTTGGACCTAGTTAGGATTAGGATCTAGTTCTGTTAAGTTTCTTTTTCAGCGCTGAGCAGGGACAAAAGCCAATCAAGAGTCTGTTGAGCCCAAACTACAATATTATAGACATGGTGATTAAAAAGGAATTTTTCTCTCCAACTTTCATTTTATCATCAGGTTGTTGAGCCCAGAGAACTGACAGATGCAAATACTATGAAAATAATGCTATTGGTTATATGCAAATACTTATTTTCCCTCGTAGACTGGAGAGAAACAACATAGAGTGATGAATTTATACATACATATATATATATATATATATATATATATATATATATATCTCAACAGTTGAAACCAGAAGTTTACATACACTGTATAAAAAGGCACATAACCTTTTTTTCCTCAGTCTAACATTAAATCAGATTTAACTTTTCCTGTTTTTGGTTAATTAGGATTACCAAAATTATTTTTATATGTTAAATGCCAAAATAATGAGAGAATTTTTTAGAAATTGTTCTTTATTATTTTCTCAGGTGTCAAAAGTTTACATGCATTTCATTAGTATTTGGTAGCTACCTTTTAGTTGTATGACTTGGGTCAAATGCTTTGGATATGCTTCCACAAGCTTCTCACAATAGTTTGCAGGAATTTTGGCCCATTTCTCCTGACAGAACTGGTGTTAACTGAGCGAAGTTTGTAGGCCGCCTTGCTTGCACATGACTTTTCAGTTCTGCCCATAAATTTTCAATAGGATTGAGATAAGGGCTTTTTGATGGCCACCTCAAAACATTGACTTTGTTATCCTTACACCACTTTGTAACCAGTTTGGCAATATGCTTAGGATCACTATCCATATGGAAAACCCGTTTGCGCTCAAGCTTTAACTTCCTGGCTGATGTCTTGAGATGTTGCTTCAGTATTTCTACATAATGTTCTTTCCTTATGATGCCATCTATTTTGTGAAGTATACCAGTCCCTCCTGCTGCAAAACAACCCCACAACGTGATGCTGCCACCGCCATATTTCACAGTTGGGATGGTGTTTTCAGGCTTGCAAGCTTCCCCCTTTTTTCTCCAAATGTAACAATGGTCATTATGACCAAAAAGTACCATTTCAGTTTCATCAGACCACAGGACATATCTTCAAAAATAAAGGTCTTTTTGAAAGGCCACTCTTCCAGGAAGAAGCCATGACTCCAAAAGAAACACGAGTATTGGATCATGACAACATGGGCGAATCTCAATACACAAAAACGCTAACAACATTCTTGTTCGTTTCCCTTCACACTGTTTCTGTGATGTCCATACTTCAGCCTTTACACAGTTATGACAAATGTTTTCAAACGATCTATCTGAAAACATTTTCACAGATGTTTGTAATGAAATAAATAAATAAATATATATATAAATAAATAAATCTATATATATATATACATATATATGTATTATATGAAAGAGCTGTCGCGGCTCGTGACCACTTTTCAACATCAATTAAGCGAGTCAGGGTCAGTTAACATCAGTTAACCACAACGGTTAGGAGACGAAAGCGATTTTTTGGGAGCTGGCTGCAATAGCAGTATTTGGTCAAATTTCAAGATGAATACGGAGAAATTGGCCACAATTTTGGCCATTGTCATTTTGTACCAAGAGGCTAAGAGAGAGGCTTCGGAGCTGAGGAGACAGCTGCAGGTACAACGAGCCAGAATGAGGAGGAGGAGCAACAGATGTCGTGCAGTCCTGGCGTTTGTTGCTGGTTGTGCAAGTTATGTAACTATAAAGTACCATTTCATCTTCGTTTTTAAAATGAACAAAAGATATATAGTCATGGTGTATTTACATAGGTGTATTTATATATATATTTTTTAATTTGTTTATTTCAAGTGATAAAACATTACTGAAACTGTTACGAATCCTCAACTGAATCCTTTCCATCACTATTTGAAATTTGATGCCTGTGGTTATTTCCCAGCACTGTCTTCTCTTGAAGACAGTGCTGGGAAATAGTAGTAGAACCATGAATGGACGTAGTAAAATAATGAAAGTTCACATTAAGATCCAGTTACAGTTACAGTAAGTGCAAATTGTGGATCTGAAATGGAAAAGAAAGAGATCTAGCTAAGTAGCATGGTGATTGACTGTATTTGAGTCGATTTCAGTAAGGCAACACACTCAGAACCCAATGTATCAGGAGGTTTACTCACATAAGAAGTTTAACAATCAACAGACACTGCGGGATGAAACAAGTTCAGTTTATTAACATAATTAATAAAAACAATTAACAGTTGCAAACTGAAACATGTTTCTCTTTTAAAAACAATCAAACTCCAAAGAGGTACGCACAGATCAACAGGCATGTGCCAATCCTCCACACCTTTTTTTCGGAGGGTGCTGATCTTAGACCTGCCTTCAGGCTCTCCAAGACCACTGTGGAAGCTCTGATCCAGATGCTGCCTCCTCGGGAAAAGCCCCATGGCTGGAGCCATGAAATTGAGGTGGCTGTTTGCCTGTACTGGCTGGCGTGTGGAAGCTCCTACCGGGTGACAGCCGACATATTTGCCATCCCAAGAGCCACAGTGGCCAGAATTGTTCACAATGTGGTAGAGGAGATGATGATCATCCTTCACAGGACTGTTCACTTCCCCAAGCTGGAGGATATGGAGGAGGTGGGGGCAGGATTTGCCCAACTGGCTGGCCATGAGGCATTCCGCTGTGTGGCAGGCACAATCAATGGGTGCCACATCCGCGCCATCCAACCTGCTGAACCACAAAAAAAAAGTTACATCAATCAGGAGCTCTTCACCTCTGTGGTGCTCCAGGATGTGTGTGACAGCTCTGGAAAGTTCTTGGACACCTAAGTTGGAAATACCGGCTCTGTGCATGATGCCCTGGTCCTCCGTAGGTCACCCATGTATAAAGAGTCCCTTTATCCACCACCTGACTACGTCCTTCTTGGGGATGGAGGGTACCCATGCCTGCGGCATTCAGTCACTGTCATAACGCTGTACCACCAGCCCTTAGCAGGTAAGAAAAGACTTAGGAAAATGTTTATTACATCACATATCAGTTGTTACTATGCATTTGCATTCTGGGATTTCTATCAGATTGAAACATTAACATGAGAAGTACTTATCTGTATTTCTCACAATGAGGCCGTGTTGAGGAATGCTTCAACCAGCATCACGCCAGGGCCAGGAATGTGGTGGAGCAAGCCTTTGGCATGTTGAAGACCCGCAGGGGAGCCATATTCTTATGGGCTTTGGAGATCCGGCCTGTATTTGCCCCAAAGGTGGTCACAGCCTGCTGCATCCTCCACAACCTCTGCCTGGCCACAGGCAATATCCTGGAGGAGGAACATCATGAAGATGATGGGGGGGGGGTTCAGGAAAATGGCACAACCGAAAACACTACCAAGCACTCTGGTGTCAACCTTCATGTCAATCCAATAGCTATCTACAGGTAAAGTTAAAAAGTGCTCTAATTATGAAGCACAAGTGTTTCATAATTTGTGAAACAAGGGAATGAATGCAATCCCTATGGATATGCAACATATTTATTAAATGAACAAAAAAACACAAATACTCAATAAATAACCATGAACTAACAACTGAACTAACAAGACTTAAAATTTATCTACAAGTTTTTCAAATATTTTTCCACCCTTTCTGCTGCTGCTCTCTCCCTTGCCTCTCCCCTGGCCACTGCCTCCCTCTCTCGGTCTTCGTCTCTCTCTGCCTGCTCTTTCATGAGTCTAAGTAGTTCTTCCCCTATTTTTGCCCTCTTCTTGGGCAGTGGTGCTCCTTCTCTGGGAGGGGCGGAGGACGGAGAGGTGACAACACCACCTGTAGTGGAGGTCAGGTTGGCTGCCGCGACCAGGGGTGGACGGATGGAATGCTGCCCCTGGAGTGCAGCATCCATCATTCTAACCACTTCCAGGTGGTAGCGGTCACCCCACCGGCCTCCACCCCTTTCCCTGTTGGGAGATCCCTAAGCTCCTTCAAAATAACGCATGAATAAAATCTAAAACATTGTGGTAGGTTTCACATTGTTCATTCATCATACATTTATGAATATGACCTTTAAGCAAGCATTCAACAAAGAAAAATATCTGGACTGTTACAAATATCACGTACTTGAAACGTACTGCACAAAGCCTACATCAGTCTTATGGAAGCTCCAACACTGTTTTGCAGGGGAGAAAAAAGAAGATAAAATGGTTGATTACCATATATTTTTCTTTAAGATTATTCCACTTTTTGGTGGCTTGTTTGGGGGTCAGATTGACCCCCGATTCCATTACAAAGACTCTAAAACACAGAAAATATGTACAACATGTTATTGTGAAAATAATACATGTTGGATACATACACACTACAATTTGGTTGGGTGACAGTTCTGTTATTATTATTGTTGTGACAGAGCTGATAATTAAATCATTTGTATTATTTATTTGACGTAGTGGTGCCTCTCACAGTTTGATTTGACTCATTAGTAGTGTTTTGCACAGCTTGATAGTGCACAATACTGCTTAACAGCCCACCTGGAGTCACATCTGATCACCACATGAATTTTTTAGCTTTATTTTTTTTATAATTTCTGTAATTCACTCGCTTCAGATAGTTACAATGAAACACATACTGGCCACTAAAAGGCTGGCATACAAACACAAAAAACACAGTGACTCCCATCCATTTTTGGAGGAATTCCTCCGCCCGGTAAAAAAAGGTTTCATAGGCTGCCCGCCACTCAATGAGGGTGGTCGTCTCCTCAGATGTCCCTTACATGAAAAGTTTAAATGTCACAACATTGATTGGATTATCTACCAGTGGTGTTACCATTACCACACATACATATTGAAACACTGGTGACAATTTAAACCTTTTCTCAGAAACATACATCATAATGACAGAAAACTAGTGCAAAAATTATGAAATTATATCTTACAGTTGTGTGCCTGGCTTTCCTCTGCCATTTTCGTCGTGTTTTGTCTATTCTAGAAAGAAATAAGGGACACGTGGGGAAGTAAAGCAGGCGCTCGCAAGCTGGGCAGCTTCGAAAAACACTGGAGCTAATTTTCAATTATCCATTTATGTTCATAATGCCGCCTGTATTTAACAATTTAACAAGAATTGATTTTTCACCTGAAATAGTCACAGTAATTAATTTAAGGGCATTGTAACAGACAAAACTGTAGAAACAACTTACCGTCTTAATGGTGTCTTCCCCAAAAAAGGAGAGGACTCACACAGGGTCGAAGTGCATTCTGGGATATCTTCGCCGGCAAGATATCACAAGTTACCATCCTATGCATCCTCGGTAAAATGGGCGTGTCAAGAAAACATCTGGGTATCGTAACCCTTCTTGTTGAGATGTCAACTTGTGGATTGAGACAGAACTTGTCTGAGACTGATGATGTTTCACAAGGAGACAAGAAAGCAAGAACACAGAAGAACGCATTTTTAGATTCGCCCCATGTCAAATGGAGCAACAAACTTTCGTTCTGTTTTTAGGTATTTAAAAAATGCACATACAGAGGTGTACTTGGGTATATAAACTGTACAGTAAGCTGTTAAGGCAGAGAACATTATATGTTTGGGACAGCAAATATTCTGAATCAAAGGGTTATTGCTTTTGGCTTATCTGAATAGCCTGAATGAAATCATTAAATGCACATACTTTTGAATCTATCCAATGGTAAGGGAAACATGGATTATTTCGCCTTGTTGTGTACTTTCAACTATGCTGCCATCAGGGGGTGCATTCTACGGCAGGGGTGCATTCTATGGCACAACACCTGACATGTCTCTGTCCTCTCTCCGTCCTGCCGCCGGTGAGGCATGAAAATAGAGCCCACTGTCACAGCACCATGTTTCCTTGATGATAGCATGTTGCTAGCACTATAAGCGGACAAACAGATACGAGTGGCTGCCACAACAGTCGCGGCTCCTGTTGATGGAGACATAAAGAATTATGAAATATGGGAGGCAGAACTTTTGGGCCACCTTCATTCGGAAGGGTTAAAGGACACAATTTAATAGAGCCCACCACTGAGGACGCGGATGAGCTGCTTGAAGATGCGGGAAAGAATGCGGAAGCCTATGCAGAACTCATTCAGTTTTTGGACGACAAAAGTTCGTCGCTGGTGATGTGGGAGGCTGCCGACAACGGGCGTGAAGCCCTGTGATTTTAGAAGAATACTATCAAGGTTAAGGAAAACCACGCATTATAAGCCTCTATACAGAATTGACTTAACTCCAGAAGTCAGAAAGTGAAAGTTAGTGGTGGGCAAAACCGGTCATTTCAGTGAACCGGATCATTCCGGGTCATTCAGTAAAAAGACCCGTTCATTTCGGTCAATCGGTCGTTAGTCAGTCCGCTCGTTCATGTTGTTCACGTTCGTTCAGCGAACGGACTGACTGCACTTCAGACTCAACAGCGCAACAACATGTGATCTTGAAATCTGAAGCATTACACCGCTCCGGATCCGACGTTGCGAGCGTCTCAGCTCCCCGGTCCGACGTTACGACCCCCCCGCGGTCCAACGCTGTGACCGCTGCACTTCCCACCCCCGGTCCAACGCTGCGATCGCGCTGCACTCCTTGTAATATAAAATTATAGTAGGAATAACAAAATATATAAGGTTTTTAATGGTTTTTATTATTTTGAGGTGCATTAAAAACAATAATAAAAAGTACAAAATGTCAACAGACAGTGCAAATGCGTATTAATAGTTGTCTCTCTGCCTCTGGCTGCAGCAGCAGCTGTGTGCCTTTGTGTGTGTGTGTGACTGTCCCGCTCGCTCGGGCTGTCGGCTCGTGCGGCTGCCAGTCAACTCGGTATTTCAGTCAACTCGTTCATCAGTCTGGATCTTTCGTTCACTCGGTCTTTCAGTCAACTCGTTCATCCGTCTGGGTCTTTCGTTCAACTCGGTCTATCAGTCAACTCCTTCAGCCGTCTGGGTCTTTCGTTCAACTCAGTCTTTCGTTCAACTCGGTCTTTTGTTCATTTAACCCGTTCTTTCAGTCAACTCGGTCATCCCGGTCTTTCAGTCAGCTCAGTAGTACTGCTGCTGCTTCTCTAAGCCCCACCCACACACAGAACGAGGCGCGACGATAGGATAAGACAGGCAAGCACGGAGATAGTCCCTCTTCAGCCAATCAAAAGAACTGAACGGACTGAACGGGTCATTTGGGGGGGAGAACTAGTTCATTTCGTTCACCAAAAAGAACTAGTTCTTTTGATCCGTTCGTTCAAGACCGACACACCACTAGTGAAAGTGTGACTGAGTAAGTGATCCGGGCGGAGACTGTAATCACAGCACTATAAAATGTCGGTGAGACATTAAGTGACAGACTTTTGGTAGCAATGATGTTGTAGGGTTTGGCAGAGTCCTTCAAACTATTCGCGATCCATGTCACACAGCGTGATGACACAATATCTTTCGCTGAATTTAAAACAAAGTTACATAGCTAAGAGGACACAGAGAAGATGCGCAAGCAGCATCAGATGACAATGTGATGAATGTGCGGCAGCGAAGAGGGAGACTCGCTGGGACAAGTGACCGGGGAGCCAAAAAGGTACATGGTGGAGATGGTGTTCTTTAAATGCGGCATGAAGGGACACCCGGCCAGAACCTGCCAGCGTAAACTCTGGTCTTCAAGAAGGGGAAGGACGTTCTGATCCACAAAGACGTTACCAAATTCCACATACACGTACATGATAGACTATATTATTTGCACACCGTAAATAATAATGATGACGAATGTGATGATCAATACAAGGGATATCATGATATGCAGACATGGCACGAGATTCTAGGACACTGCAATTACAATGACACCCAGAAATTACAAAATGTTGTGGATGGTATAAAAATTAAGTGTTCAACAGACAGACCTCTACACCATGAAGTGTGCACTCAGAAAGTTTTACCAAATGAGAAACACAGACCCTGATGTGAGGGCTAAAACCCCTCTAGAGCTAGTACACACAGACTTGGCAGGGCCAATCCACCCAGAGTCGAGAGATGGGTACAGATATGCACTTTCATTTACTGATGACTTTTCCAGTACAGTGTTTGTGTATTTCTTGAAGAATAAAAGTGACACAGTACTAGCTACAGAGAAGTTTTTAGCTGATACTGCTCCATACGGCAAAGTGAAATGCTTCAGAAACAAAAACAGTCCTGCATATATTGTTTACTTTCCTGTCAGTGAAAAGGTGCAGAAGCACAGATTGATAAAGTTTGTGGCTGAATCAGGTGTAGAAAGACAGACACAGACTAATTTTGCGCCTGAGGATGATGACTTCATACAGTACAGGTCTAGAAGTCCAGATCACCAGAACAGAGACCTGAAGTCAGCCACCACCAGTCACAGACAGTTGAGGTCAAATGTGAGCCTGAGTCTAACCATTACCCTTCAAGAGAGAGAAGGAGGCCAGACAGATACAAAGACTGCCGTGTGTTTAAAATTGTGCCTGAGGAGACTGACCAAGTCCAGAGTACCACAGATTACTGTTATCGAGTGATGTGTAACATACCTATGTCATTAACAGAAGCTGTAACCTCAGATAAATCAAGAGAGTGGGTCAAAGCTATGGATGAAGAAATGCATTCACTTAAGGAGAACAACACATTTACCCAGACCAACCTGCTTGAGGGCAAGAAAGCGGTGGGGGGTAGATGGGTGTGCTGATTAAAACCAATGTTGATGGATCCAAAAAATACAAGGCCAGATATGGGGGGACAAGGGGGACAGTCAAAAGATGGGTGTGGATTACGAGGAGACATTTTCTCATACAGCTAACGTGAGTAGAGTTTTGATGCAGAAGGCAGCAAAAGAAAATTTGATCTTACACCAAATGGATGTTAAGACTGCCTATGTAAATGCCCCTATAGACTGCGAGATTTACATGAAACAGCCAGAAGGGTACAAGGTAAAC